ACAGTTACATTCATCCCAAGAGTACTTTCGATGGTCTTGATTTTCTGAGTGAGTACCTATATAATGTGAATCCTGCTCACCCCGAAAGAAAACAGAATTGGACATATATATTCGATATGGATTGGGTGGTTTCATTGTTGAAACAAAATCCCAGACCATATTTTCCATTGCATCTAATTTGGAATGAAACTCAAGCGTCTACTAAACTGCAAAGTTTCGTTAGAGGTTACAGAGGAAGACGCAATGCAGATATTCAGGAAATACGGGAATTCTGGAAATATATGAAGCAGAAGAAAAAATTGTCTCAAGCTTACCGTGATAGATAGTAAATACAAAATCAAAATGAATCAAAGATAAATCTCAAATTTGAATTATTTCTTTGGAGGTTTTCGATGAATGAACCAGTTTCCTATTATTTCATTTTATGATATATGACATTAACGATTCTTCACGCCTGAAATGTAATGAAATTAATAGATTAATCAGTATCAACTGTAGATATTCATTGCCTTCCATTTTCCTTGGCTTCTCTAATACGTCAAAACGAGCACTTTTTCCAATCACTGGAAGTGCAATACCTTTCTTGATGCGCATTTCACTAACCAAGTTGGCGGAAATTGAGAGTAGGTATAAGTGAAATTGGTCTATGGTCACACGGCTCATTTACATCACCTTTATGGATTGGAATCACTATACCTACTGATGTTAAGGAATTCAGGAAATGACCCTATTGCGAACGAGTTTTTTATCGGTTACACTAGGGATCCAAAAACAAAAATAGGCATGTTCTGAATTATTCTGAGAAACTGAGAAACTCATAAAACTGTGAAAAACTCAGTAGATCTTAGAAATATTTCAAATAAAGTATTTTCTTGGCACACCCGACCTGTTGACTATATATATTATGCCTTAGCGTACTACAACATATCACAAAATATTCTCTGTTGGGGCAGAACTACGAACTTTGTGAAATTTCTGTTGATACAAAAGAAAATTATAAGATTAATTTTTAAATTAGGATGAATAAATTGAATAAAGAATCTGATTTCAACCATAGTTCGTAATTTCATATTGTAAACATGGAATTGATTGTTCTGTCAAATAACTCATTAGTTCCATGAGGTCCATGGCAGAGTACGTGATCGATGGAACTATCAGTTCCAATATAAATCTCAGAGTAATAATAAGACAGAGTTGCCATGCATATAGCAATACAATACACGTATTCTGAATCGGGTAGCGTACTATTCTTTTCTGTACAATTTATGGGCGAGGGGGGATGACTGGTAATAAGGGGTTATGGAGAGTTTGTTTTCATTTGAAGTAAGTTGGACCATAAAACAGTCGCGGTTGGTTTAGTTGATAATCGGAGGGACATTATATATTTATAAAATTAATCATTTCAGGTGAAAATGTTTCACGGACATCCTGGTGAAATCGCTCCCCCTGCTCTTCACTGTAAGCTCCCAGGTTTTCAGGAAAATAGTCTATGTGAAAGTGTAAAAAATGGACCTTCAAGCTCATTTTGCAGCCTTGAGCTTCAGATGCTGCTAGCATCCGTTGCACAATGGTTTCATAGTTAGGATCCTTACTATTTCCCAAAAACTTTCGTATTACGTCCTTGAACGATACCCAAGCTTCCTTCTTTCTCATTCATAGTTTCCACAAATGAAGGGTCCATTAAAAGTTTTCTTATGTCGAGCCGGTGAAAACTTCCTCTTTCAACTTTGCTTCTGATAGCTTCGGGAATTTTGTACATAAATATTTGATACAGTCTCCATCCTTTTGCAGCGATTTTACAAATTGTTTCATCAACCCCAATTTGATATGAAGAGGGGGCAACAAAACCTTTTCTGGTGGTACCAGAAAAGGTTTTGTTGTCCAGGTAGTGTTGATAACATGTTTCTCTCCAGATTTTAAAGTTTCTCGGGATGGCCAATCACTTTTTTTCCAGTGCTGTTCTCTGGCTCTGCTATCCCACAAGCATAAGAAGCATGGATATTTGGTATAACCTGCCTGCTGACCCAAAAGCATTGTCAGTATTTTGAAGTCCCCACAAATCATCCATTGATGGATCTTGATACTTGATTTTTTCCAGGATAATAGCCAAATCGTTATAATCTTCTTTCATATGCACAGAATGTCCAATAGGAATCGAGGCAAATTTATTTCCATTGTGCAATAATACTGCTTTAAGGCTAGTCTTAGATGAGTCAATGAATAGGCGCCATTCAGATGAGTCATACTTTATTTATCAAAGCGATGTATGAGTTCTTCCACATTATTGCAGAAAACTAAATTTTCTTCTTTTGAGAAAAACTGGGTAAATTCTTTTTTCTCGGTGTATGTACCAGTAGAAAGAAGTGCCAGGTGATAAAAGGTTTTTATTTCTCAATCTAGAACCTAACAGTTCGGCTGCATCTTTTGAAAGACATGAATCTCTTACTAAATCATTGAGCTCACCTTGATAAAATAATTGAGGCCTTTCATCTTCGTCAAAAGATAAATCTGAGCTTGATTCACCCGGAGGAGGCAATGTAGCTTCGTCCAACTCACTAGGGTATTCATTCAAACAGGAAGATGGCTGCGGGATAGATATCTCGGAGCTATGGGGCACTGGACATATAGCTGAGTCAAGATTAGTATAACTTATGTTTCTTTTGTTTTTTAAATTGAAGCCCTTTACGTCAACTGAGCAAAAGTAGCAGTCAGTGGTTTAATTTTTCCGCTCACACCATATTATAGGAATTCCAAATCGAAATGCATTTTTCTTTCCCTTAAACCACAAACGAAGATCTTCTTCGCATATTCTACACACCTTATGCGGGGCCCATGGTTTATCTTGATCACCAATTTTCAATTTAAAGTAGGCAAAATAAACTTTCCTTACAAAATCACTTATATTTCTCTGTTGGCTTTTAATAGCGAATTCACCACAGATATAACAAAAACTGTTTGGAGAAATAACACAACCCCTTGTAGCCATGATTAACAGACATCAGCACTGTTCACTTGAATATCAGTATGTCTACTGAGAGCTTTTCTTTGTTTCAAGCGATATACACTAGGCGTCAATTGAAGGTATAAATAGAACTTAATATTTATGCTAGAACTTATTTTACTCCAAAATAACGGGAAAAGATTGTAGAAGAGAATGAAAAATGAGAAATCAAATCAAAGAAGACATGATTACCGCTATTTTTCTTTAAAAATTATGTGCTTAAATTTTAGTTTGCATATAATTGTGTAAAAGTATACGTCATTTGACTTGTCTCAACATGTTAAAACATTCCCTGTCTCACCAACAACTCAGGTTGTTTTTCTCCATTATCAAATAAAAATCATATAGGTTTATTACCAATGAACATAGATACTGCAATATACATAAAAACTTATGTGATACAATAATTTGAATATTTTTTCTGTTTTTGGGAGGTCAAAATCTCTAAGAAAATGTAAAAAAAACCTATGCAGTTTTTTGGTCGCAGACCTGTGTGATTATGGAAATGAGGCCAGTTTTTCTACCACCCACTAGATTTTTTTCATGTATGGCTTTATAATAAAGCGCGTGTTTACTGGGTTAAAATTAAATTATTTCAAATGAACTAATTCATAACAATGATGAATGTTGATTTTGAAAGTAATGAACTTCACTTCATATAATCAGATGAAGAAATTTGTGACTTATTCTCAGATTTGATGAACAAGCGGTACGGTTTGTGGGGTCCGATATAAAGAATTTTCGATTAGGAATCATGAATATTCATAATTATGATTGAGGTTTGATATTATTATGTGATTCCATTCGAAATTGGTATCTAGGGGTCTTGGTGGACAGACATTTTGTTTTTTTTTTTCAATAATTCATGCTGACGAATTCTATAATTACGAAAAATCATTAATTTAAATGAAAAAAACTGTATTCAGAAATGAAAAATATGTTTTTCATATGTGTGCCATAAGTCATATTCATTCTTTGATCAACAGATTAAAAAGCTTTCTGCTCAATGTTCAGTTTGTATACTAAATAGTTATTCTTGTGCAACCGGTGTTGAATCTGTTATTGCTCACTTAACAACTAACTTACGTCACCCAAAGAATATGATTTCCGTTTTGGTTTTATTTTCTTTGCACGAGGCTCTCGCGTTGCATACAGACAATATTCAATAAGAAATGACGGTTATCATTTTTTAACCTTTTCTTGATTGGGATATGTAAAATAATAAAATAACATAAACCTAGTTTCATAAACCTTATTTATAAGAATAAGATCAAAAAAATGATCATTAAAAACATCCCTTTCATAATATCGGTCTACAAAGACCGATATACACTTTCTTTTGATATCTTTACAATGTCTGCTAATTCACGCCACTTCACTTCTCGATCATTCAAAACGATTTTGTGGATTCTCTTAATGTTTTCTGGTGTTACTGCCTCATTTGAACGTCCACTGCGTTTTGCATCATCGGTGTCCCTACGACCACGTTTGAAGTCAGCAATCCAACGTTTAATTGTTGTTTCTGATGAAGAAGAGGGATTGCTTCGCTTGAATTTTTTTCTCACCAACAAGCAGTGTAAAATGAAAACACGAAATTGATTTCCATCCATTATTTTGAAAATAACAGAAGTGGTGGCACTTTCAGCACAATAAATCACAAAATTGTGAGTAAAACATCATGAAATCTCAACAGCTTCCCTTTGAAGGTTAGTAGGTACTAACTGAATAAGCGGTGATTGCAAAAAGACAAGCGCCATCTATGTGTTAGGCCCAAGACTTTTCAAACCATGTCTCTGGACCTGCGAAAACCATACGGATCAATATACAAAAGATTATTGTTTTCCAAACAATCGGTCAATCTTTTATACATCAATCGTTGTGAAATTTTTGATAAAACTGATGATACCGAGATTGCGCGGTAGTTGTAAGAATCATCTTTTTGCCATTTTTATAAATAGATCTGATTCTGAAAACAATCAGCTAATAGCTTTCGTTTCAGGTTGAAGCATCAAGATAAAAAACTGCCGAAACTCAACTCAACCAGCTTTCCCGAGGACCTGAACGTCAGCGACCCGTTCAACATGACGTCATGACAATTCCCGCAGAAAAACACCAACATTTATCACAGAAACTTGACCGAAGAGACGCTTTTGAGCACGGGCACCCCCACTTCCGTCGTGGATATGGGTATGGGACTAGAAATGAATCCGGTTAACGCGAAAATACCGGAAGTGCTCGAAGGACCGGTCATGACCGGAGTGTACACGCTGCCCGAGGAGCCAGAAAACGAAGAGACGTCGGAAGATAACACGGAAATGTGAATTAGTCAGTTCTTAATTGTATTTTTAATGTATTACATGAAAGCGTGGGCGAAAAGCGGTGTTTCGTTGTAACGCACGCAATTTCAATTAAGTCTGCTGACGGTCTTTCGACCAGGAAACCACAATATGAAAGAGCGCCATTTTTTTTACCCTTGAAACGATTATTCTGATTATATCGTGATATTCAGTTGGAATGACTTCACAAGATAGTAGGTGTTTTCTAGCGTTTAAACGTATTCGAGCGTGAATCTAAAAAAGATTCGAAGTGACGCCATTAATAATATGATTCGCCAGAATGGAATGATTCAATTTATGTCAGATGTCAAATTCTATAATAAAAACAAACTATTCAATTTTCTGTAACCTCAATCAGAATCGGATTTGTTTAAGCAATAATTTTCCAGCTTTATTTTGTATATCCTTAGAACGTATTTGATAAAAAGTTTCAGCCCTCTATAAACTATAACAATCAAAATGAAGCTGAAACTGACAACTGACGTAACGTAACGTCAAATTTCATTTCAAAACCAACCTTACGCTAGTTTCGAATCATTATGATGGAGTGACATTTTGTTGTTCGCTCCAACTTAGGAAGAGGAATGAAATACTCTGAAAGAATTCTTATTTTCAATTATGGAATATCATTGACTTTAGGTCGATGATGGGCAGTATCTTGCACTGTTGGGTGGCTAATGAGCCCGAAACCGGTCTGCAAGTGTGCCCGTTCCAAAATTGAAGGTTCTCTTTCTGTTGTATATCCAATTGCATATGCAGGAAATTTTCTGTGAAGATTCCTGCACTGACACCTGTCAGATGTAATCCAACGCCCTTCGTGCTATTAGCCACGGGAGTAGTTGTTTTCTGATAGGCGTCAGTCCATTCAACCTACTGTGTAGGTATATTCGAGACTGGCTTGAACGTTTAAAGTTCATTTCTCTAGACCAGTTTATGTGACGTCACTATTTCAACGGCAGAATGAATGTATTTGAATCACAGACGAATACATATTGAATATATGAGTGCCAGAAAACGCCTCGTGGTTGTAACTTTACATCATATGAGCAAATGAGTGGAATATATTTATATCATACACTGTAAATCACCTAACTTGAATAAATTATGTATCTGATATTTATCAGAAAAGTTCTGAATCACGTTAACTATACAGGGTGTAACAAAAAAATAGATCACAAATTGAACCACATATTCTGGGGCCAAAAATAAACTCGATTGGATATAACTTACCCCAATGTAAATGTGAAATGATAATCGATATTTTGCAACAGTTAATAAACTATTTGAAAATGAATCCATCGCTTTATTATCGTGAGACCCATAAAAAGTTCGAGTGGTATTGAATCCCTAAAATCCTCCAAATTTATATTCGTTACAATTAAATTAGTATTGTGACACCATTGGTTTATTACATACACTTTTGAAATTTTTTTGTCACTTAGTATTTTTTCTAAAATTAGTTCTTATCGAAATGCAGGCTCTTTTTCATTGTTTTTTTTTCTGATTGATTCGGCCATAGTAATTTCATAAACTAGCCCTCACGATTTGATCTCCACGAACTTTATTTGAAAAATATATCACAAGTTTCGCTAACACAGTAGCTTTATCAACAGTGATTTGAATACTACAAGTTCCTTCTTACACTTATATTTATATACTACAGGTAACCATAATTGAGACTTCCTCCAACAAATTACCTCAACCTCTACCTAAGGTACTTCGTCAATTATGATCACCTGAAGCATATTACCTCACTTTCACATCAATAATCGGTTCTTTTTTCTAAGAAAACAAGTTCAATAATGGCGATCTATTCAAATCCAGTTGGAAATTCATTAGAATGTTTGAATTTTTAAGTTTATTAATTTCCATTGCTTCCAAATGATTCACTTTCAAACCTTTATTTTTTATGTGTAAAATTTCGAAGTAATCGTTAAAGATATGATTTTCTTCTAAAAGATGATTTTCATATGTTTAACTTGTTTTCTTATTCACATAGCTAATATGATGTTCCTGGATTCGATTCCTAAATGTTATACCAGTTTGACCAATATAAACCTTTTCACACTTCAATTTATACACTCCTGATTTATCGAATTTGGATATTTAATCTTTATTATTTTTAACTAACTTTCCCAGCGTATAACTTGTTCCTTATGCAATTTTAATATCTCGTTTCCTCAAAAATGAAGCCACTTTTTCCGTTGTTTGTCCAAAATACGTTAAAGCTCTATACTTTTTATTATCTAACTTTTCAATAGGAAAAACGTCTCGAATCGCTTTTTATCCTTTAAAAACTCTTCAGTTGGCTGTTCAACACTTGTAGTTCCTACAGATAAATAATAAACATTTGCTTTAACAATTACACATTGTCAATTAAAGCTCTCTATTATTGCGCATTTAGAGAGTGTTGAGAAAAGTTTAGCTTTCTGTTACAATGGTTAATACTTTTGCAGAAATGGCAGATGTACATTCAATTCTGGGTGAGTTTGGTCAGGCTAATACAAGGTTTCAGATAATTACCTGAATACTGGTAGTCACAGGTGAATGCCATGGGAATAGTACAGCTGCTGCAAGGCGTTATGCGGAAAAATATTCCAATCGGAATACACCAAACAGACCATTATTTCTTTCCATTGATCGACGTTTACGGGAGACGGGTACTTTGTGACTGTAAGTTGTTGATAATAGTGGTCGTTCAAAAATGGATATAAATGATGAAGAGATTTTAGAATTTGTCAAAGAAAAACCTTGGAAGCAGTTCAAGAGTAATAGCTGTTCAATTAGATGTTGGTCACATGATGATTTGGATAAGGTACAGTAGCTTCATCCCTATCACTTAACAACCGTTTAAGAATGACTTAATGAAGATTATTAGATTATCATAAAAGAATAGATATTTGCGACAGGTTCTCGACGGAAAACAAATCAAAATATTATTTTTAATATTCATATTTCATTTACCGATGAAACTACCTTCAATAGAAATGGCACTACGAATCACCATAACCTACACATATGATCCGAAAAAAACCTCATGCAAAAAACGACTCATCACCAAAAGACTATTTTAATCAATGTGGCATTGTGGATAAAAATCCAATAGAAAGAGTATTTCTTGCGATTAATTTAAATGGTGCAAGTCACTCACAGGTAAATTAAGAAATAAGGTAAAACATGTGGAATTCAGTGGTATTTTTTTGAGGACAAAACACAAATACTACAGAAAAATCCTTAAGGCGCTCTAAGAGCGGTGTCTGTGCGAAAGTAGTGATTCACATTGGATTTGAATCGCTGGAGATTAAATTCATTTGGAAAAACGTTATCAGGAAGTTTATTTCACATAAACGCACTTCTCCAGATGAAAGAATTCTCAAACAGTGAAGTTTGAGGTGTACTGAGTTGAACCTTAGAACGATGAGCAGCCACAGCCGTCGCGTATTTCTGATATGTACCGCTCTTGGTGAAATCAAATGTGCCAAGTCACTTGAACACTTTCCGTGAAAGTATCTATAGAAGAGAGGCAAATCTCCAACATTTCTTCGATGTTCCAGGCTACCAAGGTCGCACGTGATATTCGCGTCTATAATCAGGCTGGATTTCAATCCTATTGACTTTTGCTTTCGGGGTTTCATGGAAGAGGACGTGTGTTCTGTAGAAATAAACGGCACACAACAACTGAGGCATCCAATCATTGAAAGTGCAAATCGATTTCGTCAGATGATCTTTCGAAAAATTTCGAAAATTCATCCTAGGAAGTACCCTCATTTATACATATGTTTTGTACCTGTAAATAACATGAATACTTAGTTATTATAACCTACTTTCTGTTACTCAAAATGTTTGCCGCATCAAAACCTAGCTTTTGGAAACCTAGCTATTGGAAAAAGTGCTGAGATATAAAAAATTATTATACCTAACCAATGATGTTACATATAACAGTAGATATATTATTGTTAAAGTAACTGTTTGTCATTCACCTGTAGGAACTACAGGTATTGAACACCCAACTGAAGAATTGTCAAAGGATAATGAAAATGGGCCCACATCTCTGTTAAAAACTGGCTTTTCGAAAAAGTGCTGGGTAGCAAAATTTAATCACAAATGATGTAATAAACCAATGATGTCACAATACTTATACTTAGAAAAGTTTGGGGGTTTTCGTGATTCAATACCCCCCTGAATTTTTAATGGGCTGAACAGATTTCGTGGTTTTATATGAAAAAGATGATCTAACGATAACAAAGCCATAGATCCATTTTCGTTATAAAATGTTGAACAGTTCATGAACTATTGGAAAAAATCCATTTTCACTTTGTATTTTCCAAATCATATCCAATCGAGTCATTTTCGACCCCAGAATATGTGGATCAATTTATAACCTAGCTTTTTGTTACAGCCTTGTTTCAGACCAACCGTCTGTGAGTTCAACCAGTGACGTAATAGACAACTCTTTCAAATGAAAGGCTTTGGAGACACACATTTCCACACATATCAGTTTTTTTATCAATCCGAAATGGGCCATAAAAATTAAATTTTTATTAAATTATACTCCATACTANTGTGGTGTTTTTTTTTCCTGAAAATCATTGTTCCAAAAGTTATTCAGGGTGGCTCGTTTTCAACTCAAATAATTTGTAGTTCCCGAACCATAAGCTTTCAGACCATATGTTTTATACTTTGTTGAAATCTGCTCATCATGGAGCATCTGATAATAACCAAAAATTATTCAGGGTGGCTCGTTTGGAATGAAATGCACTGTATATTCATTCATTATACTTTCAAACAAATATTCTTGCTCAAATGTTCACAGGTTATAAAACTAATTCGATTTGGGAATTGATATTTTGTTCTTATATCGATTTATTTAGCTGAGAATATTTCAGGAAATAATCTTCAATTGTTAATGAAGCTCACCAATAGGCATTTTCATCGTAAGACAAGCGCAAGCATAGCTGTCAGATTGAAATGGCAGTAAATCAAAACATTCGTACTGTTTTAATCAATAATCGCTGGGCAAGGAATATTATCTCTACAAACGAATAAATTATTGGAAAAAACCATTGATGGTGCTTCACTCGTTTGTAATTCAGTTCAGGTTCATAATTGTGAACAATTAAAAAGGTGGTTGAAACGTCATGGGCGTCCGCAAAAAGGAAAAAAGTGAGCTGATTGAGAGGTTAGGTATCAGCATTTCTTTACTATCTGAAAACATATAAAAAAATAGTATTAACAGTTTTGTTCTTATT